GAAATAAATCAAGAATGAAAGAACATTTTAGTAAATTCAGCATTATCTTTTTTTTATTTACATGAAAAATACAAATATATCATTTGTACGTAGACGTCCTCGAAAAAGAAACTAATCAAAGATATACCATGCTCATTTTTGAGTAAAATATTCAAATCACAGAAATTTATGGAAATCTATGGAATTCTTACTGAGTATCTTTAATTTGAATTAAAGAATGACTAAATTATGCATGAGAAGCTATGTCCCTTATTTCATTTCAAGTAAAGTTGGTCTTTTCTTAAAAGAAGCTGCCAGTTTGTTTAAATGACACTATATATATTTATTTTTTGACCACCTATAGTATGTAGAATTTTAAACATAACGCATCTTCTTTGTGTTAAAACATGTTTATCTTATATTTACAAAGAACTGTGTTGCGATTATCAACAATACGTATATAACGTACATGAAATAAGCTCGATTGATAAACAAAAATATTGGTGCCTAAATTACTTATTATATTTATAAAAAAAGGGAAATGTACAATTATCACAAATTGACATGTTTAGTGTTTTTATGACGGAAAAGCTATTTCTCATTAAAAAATACGGCTTAAAGCTGCTGGAAATCAGATTTATATGATCAAAATGCCTTTCTGTCGCATTACCAACATGGGTCCATCTTTTGAATTAAAATTAAAAAATGATTACATGAGATAATCAGCACCGCAGGTTTACAGACAAAGAGAGATAACGTTTTGGAAATTCAAATTCTCAACTGGTCACGAGTTATCTTATGTCACTAAGCGGGACCATGCTCGACTTTTCCTTATTTCTTAAGTCAAATACATTCGAGGAAGAATATTGAAGTAGAGAAAACTCCTAGAATACATAACTGTCTTGAACAAAATATCATTCATATATTATACTTGACATTGACGGTCAATGTCATTAAAAAGTCAAATTCACATCTGAATTAATCATCATGTCAGTATTGTCATAAGAATTCTTTTGTTCAAGAATTAATCAAATCAACAAATTAATAACAATAATGTTATAGCAATTTATCATCTCAGAATAATTCAACATTTTGGTTTTGTCAAGTGTTCTTTAAAATGTGTATATTATTATAGCTTAGATAAGCCAAATATCAAAATTTGAACTTCAAGATCAAGATTATTTTAGAGTAAAGTTCATATTAAGTCTGGTCAAGGTCAAGTTAAGTCTTTTCAACTTGGTGGTCTTGTCCAAAGGATTGTTGTTTCCAAGTATGCAGGCAATCCATTGAGAAGTATTACAACAATTAAAGTTAAAGATTTTAGGCAACATCAAAGTCCATGACACTTTGTCTGTAGCATTAGATCTGATCTCTTCAAAAATGTAGAACTAAAAATGACTTTTCTGCTATATCTACAACATGGGTTGATCTTTAAAAATACAAAGATGGTTACAAAAACAATCAGCACTACAGCTGAATATATATATATACAAAGAGAGACAACGTTTTGAAAATTCAAATCATCACCTGTTCACGAGTTATCTTCAGATTTTACAACGTCAAGATAATTTCATAAGTCATTAGAATGGCAATAAAAGTGTATCCAGCCTCGAGACTCTATCCAAAGTCAGTTTCTGAGTGTGATGCCTTGCATGTTTCTAAATCTATAGATGTATTTGTTGTAAAGCGTAAAATAAAACATGCAAAGCATTTTGCAGGAAATAGAAGCACAGAGTTTTCGTAAGAGATGATATCTCTAGTACAAATACCGTATGTATATAGAAACAAATTTACGTCTTATGTTAAGAATATGAACTATAATATTTTTACAAGTATCCAATGACCATTATGAATTTATCATTAATTCTGTGACTTTGGTCTTGTTTTTCATATATCATTTGCAACTGAAACCTCACAATGTCATATTGATATAGATACATGCTACAAAGCTAAAGCAACATTTCTGAATTCAAAAAGCAATGTGTATTTATATAAAGATACAGTGTTTAAGCAACGTTTTTTAAAAAACGGAGGTAAATATTAAGTAAAAATTGCTTGACTTAGATTGAATTGTTTGGGAGAGATAATTAACGTTCTCGTAAATGAAAAAACGCATATTGTATTTGACAAAATGACATTAAAGTAAAAGCCTAAACAACATTAATGAATTCCGAAAAAAACTTAACATGTATTTGAATAAGAATCAATAATTTATAAAAAGAGTATACAGATAAATAATTTATGTGCAATATAAAACTTGGAACAATAAAATGGTGTGGATACATCTTATAGAATTATATAAAAAGGCTTCATTGTAATACCTAAAGTATATTCTGAAAATCTTCTAACTTACTATTATGTATTTCTGTTTACAAGGTAATGTATAAAGCACTTTTGAGTTTATATTAAAATGCTATTCTCTAATTAGACTAATACATGTATGTTCATGTATAATATATTACATCGACTTGGTAACGTGTACATTGTTCATGTGTTGTATATGATACATAAATAATATTTGAGTATGCAAAAACTTTATAATTATTTATACAAATACAATGTATCAATATATCACACTTTATTATTCATGATTGTCCCATTTTATTTCATTAATTCATTCTTATATTAAATTACAAGTACCAGTCCCATTCAAATACATTTATCGTTGACGTCGGTCACACAATATTTAACATTTATATTTCAATTGATACCACGATTATACATTATGCTTGTTTGTATTCATTTGCTTAAAATAAATAACCTTATAAATTCGTTGCAAAATATTTGCTTGAATTTTAAAAAACGAATACACCCGCAGTGTTTGTATTTATTTAACAATATATTTTAGTGTATTGCCTCAAAAGCGAATAGCTTATGCAATAAATCATTGTTAAACGGTTTAAACCGTAATTAAAATTAAAATAGCGGCAAAATATTTTGTTATGGGACAATTTATAATGTTTATGTACAATATTCATGTTAGTTCAGGTACACCACCCCGCATAGTCACAATAAATTACTGTACAATTGACAACATAAGACAGTTATGTACCTTAAGGGTCATCCATATACAAAATTTAAACAAAATTGACCGTGTAATTTATGATTGATGGACATTTTTCTTAACTTAAACTTTGCTTTTAGCTTGGCTCTTTTTTCAGAAATAAGGAAACTCTAAATAATCCTTAATATCATCAAAACTGTATGAAAAACTGTTTTCCTATTGCTCAAGAAACAAAAAATAACATTCGGGTAACAAATTACACAAGCAAAATGATTGTATCTAAATTAATTGTTTTAATATGTATAAAATGTTTACCCTACCCCGTCAACTTTAAGCATTTGTTTGACCATTCCCTATGTAAAAAGCGTTATTCAACATATCCCTAAAATTTGCAACAATGAGTGTCTGTTTTCAAAATTTGTTTACATTTTTTAAAGTATATTGGTTGATCAAACAAAATATAAAATACATTAACCGTGCAGTTTATATTTTATTAAACTTTGAAAATATCTTGTATCATATTTACAATTATACTTAATAGACCGATACGTTCACCAACATTAGATCTTTTTTATAATTTTAAATGGCTGAAATTCAATTTTAGAGTAAATTACGACAAACAGGTATGGTTTATAAATATCTAAACAATCTAGCACAGTTATATATGAGTACAATTTTTAGTTTCTCTAACAATGAATTACATAATTTACGCTCAATCGCTTGTTCTGAAAAATATACCTCATACTAATTATTTCAAGGATTCCTTTTTCTTATTTCAGTATTGACGTTTGGAATAAATTACCTATTACTATCAAACAATGTTCGACTTTACAATCTTTCAAAAACAACTGTTAAAATAATTTTCAAAGTTAACAGTTAGATACATGATGAAAATTAACCACTTAATATTTTGATTATTGTAAATGTTGATATCATCCTTTTTTAAATCATTACAAGTTTATCTATAATTACTATAATTAATATACGAGTGTCTGTAGGATGAATGAATGTGAATGAATGAAAATACATAACCTTTACATAATATATAAAAAAACTTGTTTATACAAAAAGATTTTAAATTTTGTATAGATCTACATTTTTTTCGTTGTTATCATTAAATCTGAAGGCCATACTGAAAATAAGTATACTTTCTTACTGAGTAAACTTTGTATGATACCTTCTATAAATAAAGAGTTTTATTATTATTATTATCATTATTATTATTATTATTATTATTATTATTATTATTATTATTATTATCATTATTATAATTATTATTTTTATTATAATTATTATTATTATTATTATTATTATTATTATTATTATTATTATTATTATTATTATTTGCTATTAAATTTGGCAATATTAAGCAAATAAATACTTACAATAATTAATATATAATTAAAATCAAACACTTTTTCTTTCCACAAGGGATCTGAGAGATACATAAATAATGTTTTAAAAAAGTTGCCCCTTCTGGGGTTTGTACCCCTCAGTTTCAAAGCAGTTGATAGTGATTCTAGCCTATTTGAATACTCTTCAGAGTGGAGGTAATGCATAAGGAGTGATCTACCTTAAATAACAGAAACAGTTTATGTTACAACATTTTCAAGAATAGATCATATTTATAAATCATAAATATTTCTTAAGATATAGCTTCATTAAAGTGACATTATACTAATATTTTCATGGTTAAGTTGAGCTAAATTAACTTTATATTTCAAAAGATTGACTGTCAAAATGGTGACCAACAGTTGATATTGGCAATTGTTTAGGATAGAATTATAAATCTGTCTAAAATTTAAAAAGACTGTCTCCATTCTTTTTATAAACTAAGCGTTATTGGTCAATTCTTATTGATATATTTAGAAATTTCGTTTGGATCTGTGTATTATTCATTTTTTATGCGAACTTTCTTGTTAATTGAAAGGAAGTATGGCAAAATGAAAACTTATTTGGACTTTCACCCGTTCACTCACTATATACACTTGGATGTGTATAATGTAACTTTAACTGATCAGATATCGTACACTTCAATATTGTTATCCTCTCTGACTATACACATCTTAGACATTTGGTGATTACAACAAACTGACTGAGGTTTGAGATTTAGGTTATCACAGTCAGCTTTAATGACCTCTCCTATCAGCTCACCATCAGATGTAAATTGCAAAACATTGTTGGAAAATTGTCCAGATACCAACACACTACCTGCTTCTGTGACATGACAGTAACTAGCGCATGTTAATAGTTTACCACTAAACGTTGTTACAATCTGACCATTGTTATCTAGGACTTCCAATCTATCCCTTTTAACATGATAAATCCTTGTACCATCCTTACTGACAGCTACTAGACTGTTCGTTAAAGAATACATACCGCCATCCGGGTCAATAATAAACTGTTTAAGTTTCCTGCCAGACATTGAGCAGATAAAGACTGATGTTTTATCTGAAATATATAAATGATTGTTTGCATATGCAAGACTATAACATTTAAAATCAGTTTTAATCTTGTATGTTGTTTTCATTTGTCTGTCTACAGAAATGAGATGAACTTCACGTTGGCAGGGTAATGTTACTGCTACTTGTGCCTCATTAATTTTACATATTTGATGTGGCTCTTCCGGTAGACTATAGCAGTCTGTGATGATATAGTTGTGACTATCTAAACGTTTTAACTTGTTGTTCGCGACATCAGCTAGCACTATTGTACCGTCTTCCATATAGCAGGCACTGGTGATACGACAATCTATTTCTTCAGACTTAACTTTGACACAATATGATTGTCTTCCTGCAATCTGTAACTTGCCAGCTTTCTCCTCTATTAGCATGCCAATGGTTTGAATTTGTTTCAGCTGTTGAAGGATGTCTCTGTCAGGTCGAAACTCTATGTAACTAACTGTTATCTTTACTTTGGTAGCTTCTATAAATTTGTTGGCAACTTTTTCAGCGTCTTCTCCCATCTTCACATAAACAAACAATTCAGCTTGATTTGGGTTTGAAGATGTTAAATTATCATTAGCTGATGTAACCTTTGCTTTGTGTGCTTGTAGCTGTTTGAGACCCTCTTCAATATTGCCTTCAAGAAGTTTGAATTTATATTCTATCTCATCTACAGAACTTTTCTCCAGCTTATCAAGTTGGTCATTAATTTCTTGTCGGAATTTTCTGATATCATCCAGTAGCTCAGCCTTTCTTTTCAGCAAACTTTGTTTATCCTGTTGAAATTTGTTAGATTGTATAGTAAGGGTCTTGGCCAATACCTTTAGCTTTGTTTGAATTTCTCTTGGAGACACTTGGTAAGAATTATTTTGGATAAATTCCGGTATGAAGAATATATCTTTACATGATCTGAAAAAAGAAGTCTAGTTTGTTTAGGCATCTGAGAGGAAAGAACAATTAAAATGATTAACGTGTTAAACTACAAGTTGCCGATTGATTAATTTATTAGCCCCCATCTTGCAAAATAAAATACTGTTTGTATTGAGCTGATTAATTAATTTGGTCTTACCTTGAAAAATGATATACTGGAAATTTGGTCTGATAATATTTTTGTTAATATTTGTAACAAAGTATTAATATTGATTATTGTAATGCAAGCAGTGCTAAGTCAGTTTGAATGTAATATTTGCTGGCTTGTCTAACATAAAACTGGTTGCATTTGTCAGTTAATGACATATTTTTCCTACAATACTGAATTTTCTACATAGGCAAGGAAACTGATACCGAGAATTTCTTAAAACTTTTCATAATTAAAAACAATTAAAACTGATATAAATTTACGGAGAAAAATAGGAAATATCATCTTATTTTTTTGGATAACCACTCTTTTGGGTTATCTACTGTCGAAAGTTTAGTAATAGATGATTAAGAAAACTCAGTTTGAAGGACAAAAAGGCTCCCAGAGCTAAAGGGATAAACAGTAGACCTCTACCTGTATAGTTATTTTAAAAGAAGTTACATTATTATAATGCGAAAAGGTACCTGTGATCAATTGCCATACATGTAGAACAGCCAACATTATCATGATTCTGACAGTACATATCAATGTGTTTATGACTGTGTCTGCCACACCTCTCTACAGGTGCCCTAGGCAGACCTTTGCTGGTTCCTGACTTAACTTGAGATTTATCCAACACCTTGTGACAAGCTAATACAGGCACTTGACTGTGAACTATGACACAGTTCATACAGAAATAATCGTGACAGTCTACACAGAATTTTTCACCTTCAGATTTTTTACCTCGGTTTTTACACATTGAACATAAAACATCAAATATTTCATCAGAAAGAATATCCGTATTTATTTCTCCACCGGTAGCCATTTTGTAGAATATCTTGTTGAAACCGGTTTACTTAGTTACTTCGTCTAAAAATAGATATGAATTGTCTTTGTTTCTTTTTCACATTTACTTTGAACATTTAATTCATTGAAGATTTTTATTCCTACTTTCATTGTGCCTCTGAATATTTTCTACTCCACTTTTACGAATAACAACTACTTTGAATAGTTAACTTTTAAAGATTAAGTTACGGTCATTAATGTAGTAACACAGACTGTCGTATCTCTCGCGATATACATTTACATTGAAATATTGATTGTGAAACGTCTTTTCTCGTAAGTCGTTAAATTATAAAGGTTAACATTAAATTTTGTCAATGTGTGTGTGTGTGTGTGTGTGTGTGCGTGTGTGTGTGTGTGTGTTCCCCCCCCCCGGGGTTCATTGATATTCAATATTTACATATAGTAAAAAATTAAAAAATCTTCTTGTCTGACGGTACAAGGCTTAGAGCTTTGATATTTGGTATATGATATCATCTAAAGGTACTCTATCAAAGTTGTTCAAATTTTGCCTCTAGTGTCAAAACTAGCCCCGCCCCTGGGGTCATAAGTTTTCCTAACATGTATATAGTAAAAACCTTTAAAAATCATCTTCTCTAATTGACAAAGGCTAGAGGTTAGACATTTTGCATTAAACATTGTGTAGTGAACCTCTAGCAAGATAATTCAAATTAAAGCCCTGGGGTCAAAATTGGCCCCGCCCCGTTTGGATATGAGCATTATAGTGACCAGACTGAACTTGATCTTCAATCATAAATTATCTTGACCTGCATGGTCAAATGTTTGAGGTTTGCTTGATTTTAGCGATAATAACTTTGTTATTTAATAAATTATAATTTTATGAATTGATTGTGTTCATACTTTAACATTATAATCCTTCGAACAATACCTCAAATCAAATTGATTATGACTTTCACTTATCCATGACCTTGAACTTTAAGGTCAAATTATTGTTCCCCACCTATCTGAAGAAAAAAGGGGTTATAGAAATGGGCTCCAACCGTCTGCCTGTCCATCCGTCTTTCCGTCCGTCACACTTTCGTGTCCTGTCCATAACTAAGTCATTAATCAAATTAATTTGAAATATCTTGGCAAAAATGTATGCTATAATGAGACGATGTGCAACACCTAGACCCTCTACCGCCAAGGTCACACCGCCTCCGTGGTAGAGGGGTTAGAGTCGAGACTTCTAATCCAGTTACCTCTCTGGCGTGGGTTCGATCCCCGGGAGATGCTTTGGTAGTTTAGCGCGGAGGAAGGTAGTCTAGTACTGGTGTAACTCTCCAGGAACGATGGTTAGGAAACTATCCGCCTATATGACTGAAATATTGTTGGGATAAGGCGTAAAATGAAACAAACAAACAAACCGCTAAGGTCATGGTCAAACTTGGTGATTTGAGGTCAATATTGCCAGTATGATGGTATTTGTCGTGTCTTGTCTATAACTTAAGGGATCCAGTAAGGGATTTTAAACTACTAAGCATAAATATTTAAAGATAAAGAGGACGATGTGTCAAGCGCAACACCCAGAGCGCTACTTTAAAGGTCAAGGTCAAAATTGGAGGTCCAATTTTCATCCGTTAAGGGATTTTGAAATACTTAGCACAAATATTTAAAGATAAAGAGGACGATGTGTCAAGCGCAAGACCCAAAGCGCTACTTTAAATGTCAAGGTCAAAATCGGAGGTCCAAGCTTAACATTGACTGTTTTAGGGTACATTTTGTGTCAGGTCCGTACCTGTTTCATAGATCAAGGGATTTGTAAATTACGTGGCACAATTGTTCACAATAATAAGACTACTAGTATGTGGCATGCGCAACACCCGGATGCTTACCTCCAAGGTCAAGGTCACACTCTGATATCAAAGCGTAACATTGTCTGTAATAGGGTAAATTCAAGGGATTTTGAGAATACTTGGCACAATGTTCACTTTAATGAAAAGACGTGTCGTTTTTAACACCCACACGCCTACCCACAGGCCAAAGCTTAGCATTATGTATATTTTGTGTGCGGTCTAAAACATTTTCATAGATCAAGGGATTTTGAAATTACTTGGCACAAATGTTCACAAAAAAAGGTCAATATGTCATGCGCAACACCCGGACCCAAACATGGGAGTCAAATCTTAACATGGTCTGTTAAAGAGCATTTTTGTGTCCAATCCCTAACTTTGTCATCAATCAATGGATTTTGAAATAACGTGGCTCAAATGTTCACAATAATAAGACGATTTGTCATATGGCCAATAAATGGTCTGTTATAGGGTGTGATGAAAAGTCAGGCCCAGACAAATAACATGTCATTGGTGAATCGACCACATACCTTGATAGTTTTAAAGTTACGGCCGGACACAAAAATACCCTGTAACAGACCATACCACCATACCCAGTATTGATTTTGTATTTGTGCCATTTTGTGGTTTTGAAATGGTGATAACAACTATACAAATGTTGTTTTTTCTGTTGACACGGGCGTTATTAAAGATTCTGTTTAACTATGTTTCTTAAATGCATTTATTGTTGCATGTGTTAATCTCACATTGATCAAGTTTTTATACTGGAAGTCCTTATTCATTCCTCAATCCTTTGAAATACTTTTGTGCTTCATGTATAATATTCCTCAGGTGGAGGACGTTGGTAACTCTGTTAAAAATTATTGATGACGTTTGCTTGTTGTTTTTGCTAACATTGGCTATCAATTTGTACCTGATGAATGAATTGTCTTCAAACTTGGACACAATCCTTCAAACAAGACCTTCTTGTAGATCTAAATGAGTATAACCTTCACTCTTCAATGACCTTGGCCTTGAAGGTCAAATTATTGAATTTGTCTTGAGTTTTACTATAATTCGTTATAACTTTGTTATTTATGAATGGAATGTCTTCAAACTTGAGAACATCTACCATAGATCAAATCAATTTTGACATTGACTCGTAAATGAACTTAACCTGAAGGTCAAACTTATGTAATTTCAAGTTTTTTTTCTTTTGCTATAATTGGTTTTAACATTGTATGTAATAAATATATGTAATAAATAATTGTCTTAATACTTGGTCAAAACAGTCTATTTGATGGACATGAAAAAAGATTTATCTCAACTTGACCATGACCTTAATTTGACTTTAACACATTATGTCAAATTAGTAACTTTGAGACTAAAAGACAAATTAGTGACTTTTAGACTAAAGGTCAAATTAGTGAATTTGAGACTTAACGTCAAATAAGTGAATTTGAAAATTGACCATATCTTTGTTATGAAATTATTGATTTGATTTATATTTAAACAAAGAACAACAAACGCATTCAAATATGACCTTGACCTTATATGACCTTGACTATCAATGTCAAATGTTAAATTTAGCTTAGATTGTCATAATTTTAATATTTATTAAAGGATTCAAACACGGATATGGTTTGAACATGGACAAAAAACCGTTACGACAAAACTTACATGTTGAATCATTCTAATTTGACCTTGACCTTATACTCATTTTGAGCGTCAAAACATAACCTTCTTACTTTACTTAAATTGACATGATAACTTTCTGTGTGATTTTTATATGTTAGGCCATGTTGTTGTTGTCGCAGAAATTAATAAATCGATTTGCACGAAATTCAAGATTTTCATTTGAGCTTGGATTGACTACTAAGGAATTAAAGTATGAAAGTCGTTGGTGAACTTTAAATACAGGGAAAATAAATCGAGAAGGAAGGAACAGTTCAGCAAACATTCAACATAATCTCCTTTATTTAATGAAAGGTACAAATATATCATTTGTATGTAGACGTCCTCAAAAAAGAAACTGATCAAAGATACACTATGCTCATTCTTGGGTAAAATATTAAAATCACAGAAGTTTATTAAAATCTATGGAATTCTTACTGTGTTTGTTTTATTTGAATAAAAGAATAACTAAATTATGCATGGGAAGCTGCGTGCCTTATTTCAGGTCAAATAAAGTTTGTCTTTTCTTCTTCTTTTTTTCTTTTTTTTTTTTTTGGGGGGGGGGGGGACACTATATATATTTATACTGTGACCACCTATATTGTGAAGAATTGTAAACATATCTGCTTTGTGTCAAAAGATGTTTATTTTATATTAACAAAGAACTGTGTAGCGATTATCAATATTTTCAATATCAAAATTGAGCATAGTATATCTTTAAATGAATTTTAAATAAGTTTGCTTGATAAATGAAAATAATGGTGCCTAAATTATTAAAGAATGAAAGGTACAATTATCAAAAAATGGGCTTTTAAGTGTTTTATTTCTTATTAAAAATACGGCTTAAACTACTGGAAATCAGTTTTATATGATCAAAATAACTTTCTGCCGCATTACCAACATGGGTTGATCTTTTAAAATAAAAGAGGATTACATTAAATAATCAGCACCACAGTTTAGTCTATAGACAAAGAGAGATAACGTTTTGGAAATTTAAATCCTCAACTGGTCACGAGTTATCTTATGTTACTAAGCGGGGAACATGCTCGACATTTTCTTATTTCTTAAGTCAAATACATTGGAGGAAGAATATTGTTGTAGAGAAGACTCCTCGAAAACATACATCGTAAGTGTATTGAACAGAATATCATTCAAGTGACATCTGAATTAATCATCATGTTAGTATTGTCATCAAAATTCTTTTTTTCAAGAATATCAAATCTACAAATATATAACAATGTTATAGCAATTTTTCATATCAGAATAATTCAACATTTTAGTTTTGTCAAGTGTTCTTTAAAATTTGTATATTTTTATAGCTTAAATCAAGCAAAAGTCAAAATTTGAATTTCAAGATCAAGGTCAATTGAGGGTAAAGATCAAGTTAAGTCTGGTCAAGGTCAAGCTAAGTCTGGTCAACTTGAAGTTCCTGTCCAAAGGAATGTTGTTTCCAAGTATGAAGACAATCCATTGAGAAGTAAAAAAAACACAATATGACCAACGTTAAGAATTTTAGGCAACACCCACGGCAACGTCA